AGTAGACTTCAAGGAAAGTCCGAAAGTGACTAAAAACTATTGTAATTTATACTTTAGACCAATGTACAATTATCTTAAATCAATGAAAACATTTCTTTCTTGTGTTGTATAGTTTTGGCATCATCAAAAAGGGGGAAATTGTTAGTACCCAATTTTGATAGATTTTGATGATGCCACTATACTCTACACTAGCACATTGTATCTTAATTAAGTTCAGTCACTAGTCTTTAATTTAATCAAAAATGACAACATAAATGTACAATCTTTTGAGTCTAATGACATATTACCGGAAAAGAAAAAATGCAATAAGGTAATTTTTTCTTTTACCTTAAAGGGATATTTAGATCCTACCGGAATATATTATTTAACTCAAAGATTAACTATCACATATTTTTGGCACTCGGATATCATACACTGAATGTGTATGATTGGAAGACAGAACTTGACCAACATTAAATGCTAAATCACGTACATGGTCCTACAACATGGGACGTCCTTTTGGAGTGAAGCAGCAGCAGCATGGGACGCACACATAATGCAAGACAAAATGATCAGCTACAAATTAATGCTCCAGCACAACAGGACAAGAGTACTACTCGTACTAATCAGAATTTCAACGTCAAAGATTAATTCATCTCAACCAACGGATGAGATTAATCAACCATGAAGGCCTATAAATATAGGTAGAAGCATGAGTTCGAAGACAAGCTTGAGCATCCTAAGTAGAGAAAAACTTTCATCAAAGCATATACGAGATATCTAGCAAAAGAGAAAGTGCAAACTCAACTTTACTCTCTGCTTAGCCTCATGCTTCACTAAGCTCTTAGATTAGATCAATACTTTTACATTTTTAGAGCTTAGCTCTTAGTTGGAGGTTAGAACTTTCTTGTAACATTTCACAAGTGGTTGTAAACACTTAGGAGAACAGTTGTTCGGATCCTAAAGTGTAGTTAGATAGATAGAGTACCTTTTGATCCCCACTGGATCAATTGAGAAAAGTCTAAGGACTGAGTAACTTTGAGTGGTGTTATACTCATTGTGAAAAACCTTCAATCTAGGCCTAAGAGTTGTAAAGGCTAGATTGGCACTAAGTGTATTGGGCTGAATACTTTAGTGGAAATCCATTTGAAAGAGAATGGGACTGGACGTAGGAGGATTACACCACCTCTGAACCAGGATACATCGTGTGTTGATTTCACTTCATTCAACAAAACACACACCCAGCACTTCTCGTATAAAGATTGTAGTTTGCCAGCAGCATCTTAAGCAGTTGTCTTAATTGACCCAACTGCTTATCCTTCTGCTTAATTACTCACTCTCTTTGAGGCTATCTCCATACAGTTCACTTGGTAAAGCATTATCAAAAAGGTTGTTCTATCAGTTCTCGAAAATTCACTTTCAAAGTATAGCAGGTGCCTCAGCAGTCTCCTCAGTACCACCCAACTGCCGAGCTCCCTGCTCACATACGTATATTTCCTTTAAACAACTCAACATCACCAGATCCTCATAACATCATCACACGAAGTTTTGCTTAAAAGGATCTCTGAAAATCTGTTTATAACCTAAGCAGGTGACTCAGCAGTTCCCTTTGTATCACCCAACTGCCAAGACCACTGCTACAGTTAAACTTCATCTTAACCTTACTTAAGTACTTTTTCAGACATCTTTCTTGTGTTCTAAACAACGTTTCACCATCACTTTTCATCATAAAATCAATATTTCTCTAGCAGTTGCCTCAGCAGTTCCCTGCTACCTAGTCAACTGCTAAGCTAACTGCCAAGCCAACTGCTAGCTATCTAAGTCCAATCTTCCCAAAATTAGAAAGTGGTCAAACACTCATTACATAAAGGGTAAAGACTTCCGCTGTGCATCTATTAATCTCTCAAAAGATTATAGATCAATTCATCTAGAGGGAAAACTTCATAAAGTTGAAAAAGATTTAAAAGTCTATTCACCCCCCCCCCCCCCTCTAGACTTTTACCCTATCCGGGACCATCAACTTCTCTTTTTATGTAACTAGTAACAAGGGGGATTTAAAGTTTGATTTGATTTAATTAATTAAATACGAAGATGAACGACTTATATGAGTTTAATTAATGGAGATGAGGACTTCGTTTTGCTTTTATCCACTTAATGAGATGTTCGTCGATCCCGGTTATATTTTTAACTATCTTCCTCTCGAATATTCAATCGAGGAGTATATCCAATTCATCGAGGGTAGTTATTAATAACGAGACGCATTCATTAATAAAACTTACTACCGAGTCAATATAGAACACGCGCCGTATATTAACCCGATAGTAGCAATAAACTTAAGATGAAAACGATTGAGATTGATAACCTCAACACAAGCGGTTTATTGGTTTAATCAATATAATTAATTCCCCTTAGATTATTAACCATGAGACGCATGCATTAATAATCCAAGTTTACTACCGTGAAACGACCGAACGATTAACAAGCGTATTCGTTGATCGATTCTAGTATTAATTAATATATGAAACAAAACTAGTTGATCCTTTAAGTAATGTTCAAAATATTAATATGAAATATGAATAGGAATTAATTAATACTCAAGGAAGAATATTAAAGAAGATGAATCCTACTATAGTTAATATCAAGATGTTAATTTATTGTCATCTTAGTAACACTCCCCAATATTAACGTAGAGGAAGAAATAACTATTACTATAACTAATGTCAAGATGTTAACTAATTGTCATCTTAGTAACACTCCCCAACATTGATATAGAAATAGTATTTAAAGGAAAAATTAATATTCAAGGAAGAAGATTAAAGAAAATAACTCACAACTTACAATTCATTAAGCTTCAAAGTAGCAAAACCAAGATGGAAGAGTTTAGCTCCTCATTTGGAGACTAAACATGATAGAAAATATAAAGAAAACATTAATCTAAACTGAGCTTAAGAGTATATGTGAATTGGTGATTTTTTGTGGGAAGGAAAGGGATGCATTTATAGGGAAATGGAGCATGCAGGGGTGTGTACCCGATCGGGTATAGAAGGCTCCCGATCGGGTACACTCAGAAGCTTCCCAGAAGCTAAAAAACGTCATGCATACCCAACCGGGTGTGTCGGCTACCCGATCGGGTATGACACTCGAACATGGCCAAAATCTTCCCCGCATGTTGCTTTGTTCCCGGGTTGATCCGATTTGATTTTTCAGCAAGGTACCCGATCGGGTATAGGTCATACCCGACCGGGTACAACACAAAAAATCATAATCTTCAATTTGTCTTGAGATTTTTGCACCTTCCTTCCATTTGTGATGTTCACCAATGGTCCCTAGAGTGATCTTGGACCTGTTTGAGCTCAGAATAAACCTAATATAAAGAAATTACAAACATTTTTTACAAACTAAACTATTACACCAAAAGTGTGTAATTTCCAAAGTAGCAATCAATCTAAACTAATTAAAAACAAAAACATAAACATGGAAATTACATGAATGTCAGCTCACACATCCACTCTACTAAGTATTTTATCATTACATTGGCAATTCACATTTTTCAGAATTTGCAAGATACTTTAACTCTTTTGGGAGCGGGTCATCCATCGAACATAATTACGAAACTTATCGCATGAGAGATAAACCCGGTTCTTTAAATTATTGTATTCTATGCCGCGAGAACAGTAAAAACTTAGTATTGACATGTGTGTTACTCAATTAAATAATTTTCATGTGATTAAGCTTGATCTTTCTCAAAATCTGGTTACCCCCGGAATCAATCATTGTTTCCCTTCTGTCGTTAATTAAAAAGAGACATTTAATTTAGCTAGCTTTTTATTCATAGCATTTATTTCTCAAAAATCAAATCTCACATATGTGTTATTCAACACTTAATTCCATTTTTCGTTCATATGAAGACGATACTCGTACTAAAACTCTACTTTTATTTTATTTATATATTTGGAATTATTTCTTGAATTTATAAATTAAATTATGTACAAATACAATAATTAAAATAATTAAAAAATCTATATGTCAAACTTTTTTGAGGGTGAAGTAAGGGGAGATGGATGGATGTAGTAAATTATAAAGAGATGGCCGGGTCATGAATGCAAATTAAAGCTAACTAGTTATCTAACTCTTGCGTTACACGAGATGAAAAGTTAATTATTTTGACAATAATTCAATTATTTTTTTAAATGGGTGCATAATATTGTCTTTTGATGTGAATTACAATTAAAATGTTCTCAATTTTATTCAAGACAAAATGTTATATTACAAAACAACTCCGGTACCTATTTAAAAAATGGGATACCGTACCTATCATGCATTTGATTGGTTCAAATCATTATATGTTTTTTAATTTAGATTTAAATAATTCAACTGCATCATTCTTATTGGTCCATTTGGACAAAGGTACGGTACATTTGGGGTACCGTAGAATCTACCATAATAAAGACTTCTTTGTATACAACATTTATTGTGGAATTTGTCGGTCTACCATTATCGTCACAAATCAAAAATCAAAAACTTCAAATCAGCTGGACTCGTGACTCTTGATACAACAACATAAAGCTGCCCATGGGTGAAAACTGGTAGTCGTAAGAATATCCCCACATGCAATTTTATACTATGTTTGTTCCAAAAAAATTGACTAATTTGACTTTTCTTAATCAATATAGTTAAAATTTAGACAACGATCCTAGATATTATATTTGTGTGTATAGTACTTCCTCCGTTCCTTTTTAATTGCAACAGTCAACATTTCACGTTTGCCAACGCACAAGTTTGACCATTAATATCTTTCATTCCTTATTAGTAAAAAAATTAAAAAATTCATATTTTGAAAATTTAGAATGAAAAGAATTAAACAATATTTTTTAAAAATTTAATTTATTATACATCAATTAATAAAATGTAGTCAAAGTAGAACATGTGAATAGTGCAAAAAGTCCAATGTTGCAACTAAAAGAGAACGGAGGTAGTATATAAATTTTATATTTTACAAAAGATTTTTTCAATAAGGAATACTCATATTAAAATATGTTATTGGTTAAACGTTATGATGTTGACCAATAAAAGTGGGGGAGTAGCATGTTACATGTAGGTGGGGACTGGGGAGCATATATATATATATATGTTTATTAGCAAGGTGTTGAAGGTGAGCAGTAAAGATGACCGGCAAATCGGGTGATGAGACCGACGGTGCTCCCAGATAGAGCGGTGACGAGGTCGCGGTGGCCGTACTTTTGCGCCCCTTGAAGGTCCCCGGATTGGGTGAAGAAAGCGCCGTTCATGAAAACGTCGCCGGAAGAGACCCAGGTCCAGGACTTCCAGGAAGCGTCGGGGCAGTCCCGGTGGGTGACCTCCTTGAAGGGGTTGACGCCCGGCTGCGCAATGTAGCGGTTGCCCTGGCTGACGATGGTGGCGCCAGCGGAGCCGCCGACGGCGTACATGACCCAGTGGGTGTAGTCGTTGTTGACGATGTGGAAGAGGCCCCACCGGCAGCGGGGCATCCTCTGGTGGAGCCGCTTCCCGAAGTGGTTGAAGGCGACGGTGATCTGCATCACCTTGTCCACCGGGTCCCAGTTGTTGGCCCCGAACAGCAGCACCTTGTCGTGGTCGGTGAAGTGGGAGTTGGAGATGGTGACGGCGGTGGAGCCGGCGACGGCGTCGATGATGCCGTCGGCGCAGTTGTACATGGACACGTGGTCGATCCACACGTGGTGGGAGGCGAAGATGGTGATCCCGTCGCCCTCGTCCCCGGTGCGGATGCCCTTGTGGTCCGCGGAGTCCCGCAGCCAGCCGCCGGGCGTGGGCACGATGTCGCCGATCTTGACGTTGTGGATGATGACGTTCCGGACGAACTGGACGGTGATGCCGGCGCCGCCGGCGATGTGGACCGACACTCCGCGGCCGTCGATGGTCTTGTCGCTCTGCATGATGAGCTCCCGGGCCAGCTTGATGGTCATGCTCCGGGCGAAGGTGATCCACAGCGGCCTCTTCTGGATGACGGCGTGGCGCAGGGTGCCGGGCTTGGGCTCCACAACGTCGTTGTCGGACGGGTCGGTCACCACGTAGTAGCTCCCCGCCTTCCCGCCGGTGGTTCCCTTGGCGAAGCCCATGGCGCAATCTGCCAGCCTCTTCCGGTTGGCGGCCCAGTTGCGGTCGCATCTCCAGCACCTGTCCATCGGGTTCGTCGCCAGGCATCGTCCCCCCCGCCACTTTCCTCTCTTCCGCAACTCCCTTCTCTTCGTCCCATTGTTATAACTATTATTATATATACTACTAGCTATAGTAGTAGTAGTACTTCTCATCCCATCCGCCACCTGCAATTCTCCCATTGTCTCGTTCCATTCCCTGCATGCGCCCAACTCCCCAGGCCAAAAGTTCAATTAATTCCTAGTTAGTTAAAAAATTAAAGATGCATGCATGATCGATCTGTGGGCTCTTAATTTTTTTTATGTAAATGTTTTAATTCATAATAAATTACATTCGTAAACAAATAAATAATAAAATTAAATTAATAAATTATTCGTAAAATAAAAAAAATTAATATATAAATTAAAAAACGTCTCCTCTCCCACCACCAGCTCCGATCACCGAAGGAAATCTGCTAACATTTTTAGTAATGCCATAATAATTGCAGATTCAATGAAAATTTCGACATTAATTATCAACAGTTATAATGCTATTTTCTCGACATTTTTCAGAAAAAATAGCATTTTTTACAAAATATGGAATAACTTTCACTAATCAGAGGTGATGGTGCAGCTAGGCGGTGGGAAAGGTATCCATGTTTTTTTATAGGTTTCAACTATTTTTTTTAAAAAAAATCAATTCTTTTACATTTTATTTTATAAAGATTTTATTATTTTTATTACTTTTTTATGATTTTTTTTCATTTTTTACGAATTTATAATGAATTAAAAAATTTCATTATAAATTAATACCCTTAGAGGTATTTAGGGTAGAAAATAAATGTTTAGTCCTACTCGGAGGAATTTAAAAAATAGTAATTCTATTTGTGCTTTTTAGGAAAACTTTAGTACTGTTTAGGACAATTCCTATGAAGTACTTGGTAATATACTACCTTCGTCCCATTTTTTTTTTCAAAGTCAACATTTTTTCGTGTTAAAGTTAAATGCTCCTATGGATAAATAATTCCATTTTAATAATTAAAATTAAAATTTAATTAAGTGATGAAAATGAAATTATTTGAGCCAAAGAAACAAATTTTGCATGGGATGTAATTATTAATGAAGCTAAGTACGTACATGCTAACTCTTTCATTGAATTCCCTAGTAACTTGTTCGGGATTGGGGTGATAAGCTTTGAGAATATTTATCCGCGCTTGGGTGGCGCGCTGTTCCCACACGGTGTCGTCGTCCGCTGCTATCAGCTGCGGCATGGCGGCGAATGCGGCAAACAACGTGAAGAAAAACGGCATTTTGGCCATATTTTCTTTCCCGGCCGGCGATGGTCTAGGATTATAGCTGTCCTAGACCACCCAATTCGATCTCTATCTCTCTCTTTAATTACCCACGACGGGCGTTCGTTCGTAAAATTTAATTACCAGCAGATGATATGATTGCCCGGTTTACTGCATGCCAGCTTTCCATCGGATGGGAACATTATATTGTTTCTTTAAATGCCGCGCGAGATTGAACCACAAAAAAATGCATGGTGCGCCAAGTGTGGACAACCGTACGTATAGTAGTATATATATATATATATATATATACACTTCTTACTCGTCGTATCATATAGGCCTCAGCGCATGCAGCGCATGCAATGTACGTACATATCTCCATGCATGCTCCTCCACCCACAGACTATGGGATTTAGTAATCTCCATCTCATTATATTAAGGTAGATTCTATGCAGGGCCGTCTCCAAGAGTTTTGATGCCCCAGACAAAGAATGACTAATGACATCAAATAACACTTAAAATTAATAACGCAATCATATATGAAGTAATTAGAAAATTATAACCAATTTTTACTAAATGTAAAAGGTAACACTTGAATTAAAATTGATATAAAGTATCTGAAAATATAAATCCTACTAAGAAATAAACAAAACTATAAAGGTAAGATCTCATAACATATTCTTCTTGTCATTTGATGTGCACAATTTGTAAGTACATTACTACAATCAAGAGTAGATAAAACTCTTTTTTACATATTTATCCATTGAACTCACAAAAGATTGCATTACTTTTCTTAAGTTTTACCCTTTGAAGCCCCTCACCGTTGTTTCCATTTTCCTATCATAGTGCACACTATAAAATAATAATTTTGCACTAATTAGTTATATGACAAGTTAGTAAATACGGAAATACTATTTGAAAAATTAAAGGAATAAGTTTCAGACTAAATTTAATATAGGAATTACTGCAAGAAGAAATTACAAATGGTGAAATCTCAAATACAAATTTGTAATATTTACAAATTACAAATCAAACTATCAAATACAACGAATTACCAATGGTGAAATTTCAAATAAATAGGTCGGCTGGTAGAACAGCAGAAAGAACACGATGAGTGGCTCTCTGGTTATGTACTCTTGATTTCTTACTTTCTTTTGCTCGACGGTATACTCCGTATTTAAAAAAAATCAAACGCCACTCTAGGGTGATAGACTAATAGCCTATGGACTAGAAGACTATTGAACTACCTAAATTCCTATTGGACCATCTGGCCAAGCTCCATGTGCTTGTTAAGTATTCTCTTATCCAAATTGATTAAATTATGTTGTAGTTGTGCCTTTTGAAATTTTGTTGTTGCTGGCAACTACGTGTATCATGTACGAAGCATTAATGTAATATGAAGTACTGGTATTATACTACGTATTAATATAGTGGTTTAATCTTTTACAAAAATGAGGCCCCTCTTGGGTGTGGTGCCCTAGGCAGTGGCCTAGGTGCCTGCCGGCCATGGCCGGCTCTGATTCTATGGTACCCTAAAGGTACCGTACCTTTGTCCACATGGACCAATCAGAATGTTGCAGTTGAATTATTTAAGTCTAAATTAAAATTGATATACCTATGTGGATCAATCAAGTGAATGGCAGGTACGGTAACCCATTTTTTCAATGGGTAACGGAGTTCTCACCTTATATTAATTCATTTCTAAAACATCTTTCACACTTTTCTTAAGCCATTTCTCGTAAACTAAAACTAATTAAAAGACAAATGTACACGAAGTCACGAACTATAAGAATATCAAGAAATATGCTAATCAGGCTAGAAATCAAAATTAGTATTTTTGTATATATTCGAGTAAGAATGAATATGATTTACAAAGGGGTTCACCACTATTTATATGAGAAGTAATTAATTAATGCCCCTGAGCGTTTCGTCTGTTTTTGACGTTTTGGTGTGTTCCTTAATTCATTAATTGTCCCGAGAAAATTAACTAATTAAAATATTAAACTAGTAAAAATGTGAACGAACAACGTTTCGAAAATAAAATGCTAAAAGATAAGTTCAATGTGATTAGTAACAAATAAATTAACTAATTAAAAGTGGAGTTTAGATTTGTTATCTATATTTTGTGATTTTTCAAATTTTAGCTTTCTATTAATATTTCAACTAATGAATTAATGAAAAACAAACAAAAAAATGATAAAACCCAAAAAATGCAGCAAGGCTGCGTTACAAAAAAAACAAGCAAAGAAAAGAAAACAAAAAAAAAAAGAAGTCAAATATGTGAGAATTAATGGGAAAGGTACCCCAATAGGAGTCCTGACATGTATATTTATAATGTAAGAGTTATAAACATTCAAGGAAACAAATATTTCTAAGAATATTCTATTACACCCCCTCAAACTGTGCGGGAGATACAACGCGCAGGTTGTCCTTTAAAAAATGAAATTGCTGACTGGAAAGACTTTTTGTAAAAATATCAGCTAATTGTAGTTGTGTAGGAATGTACTTCACGACTAAGTCTCCATGAGCCACACGTTCCCGGACAAAGTGGTAGTCTATTTGGATGTGCTTGCTACGAGCATGCTGAACAGGATTAGCAGTCAAATAGGAAGCGGAAATGTTATCACAAAATAACTGAACCGGAACTGTAACAGGAAAGCCAAGTTCAAAGAGGACGGAACGAATATGCAATTTATCCTGAACAGTATATGCAACAGCTCGATATTCTGCTTCTGTAGAGGACTTGGACACGGTAGGCTGCTTTTTGGATTTCCACGAAACAAGATTTGGACCCATGAACACTGCAAAACCAGTCGTGGACCGAGATGTATCTGGACAGCCTGCCCAATCCGCATCTGAATAAGCAATAACGCATGTGGCCCTAGTAGTAGGCTGTAGCCATAATCCATGATCAAGTGTTCCCTGCAAGTACCTAAAAATACGCTTGACTGCAAACAGGTGAGTAGTACGAGGGGCATGCATAAACTGAGACACTAAATGCACAGCATAGGTAATATCAGGTCATGTCAAAGTTAAATATTGTAATGCACCAACCATACTTCTATACTCAGTGGCATCTGCAAGAAGTTCCCCATCAATAAGGGATAAAGAAGTACGAGTAGCAAGCGGAGTGCGAACAGACTTAACAGTGTGGAGATGAAAACGAGAGAGAAGATCAGAGACATATTTATGTTGAGAAAGAAACAAACCTTTAGAGGAACGTACAGCCTGGACTCCCAAAAAATAGTGAAGATCTCCAAGATCTTTCATAGCAAAATGTTTAGCAACAAGCTGAATGAAGGAGGTAATAGCAGCGGAAGAATTACCAGTAATAATTATGTCATCAACATATAGTAATAAATAAATGACATTATTATTCTGGCGGTAAATGAATAAAGAGTTATCAGACTTGCTGCATGTAAAATGATGAGACAATAAAAAGCTACTAAAACGGTGAAACCATGCACGTGGGGCTTGCTTAAGACCATAAATGGCTTTGCGCAATTTGCATAAATGATTAGGAAACAAAGGATGAACAAACCCACGTGGCTGACGCATATAAACTTCCTCTGTGAGGTGACCATGCAAAAAGGCATTCTTGACATCCAATTGACGAATGACCCACCCAAAAGAAACAGCTAATGTTAGGACAATACGAACAGTGGTGGGTTTAATAACTGGACTAAAAGTTTCAGAAAAGTCCACACCTGCCTGTTGATTAAAACCTTGAGCTACCAGACGTGCTTTGTGGCGCTCAATAGAACCATCTGATTTATATTTTGTCTTATAAATCCACTTAGAGCCCACAACATTTTTAGTATGATCAAAAGGCACTAAATCCCACGTATTATTAGAAATAAGAGCATTAAATTCCTCAGCCATTGCCGCTCGCCAAATTAAATGTTTATTAGCCTCAGAAAAACATGTAGGATCAGCTGATAAAACAACAGTGTTTAAATTAAAAATTTGTTTGGGTTTGAAAATTCCCGATTTTGCCCTTGTCTGCATGGGATGAATATTAAGGACCGGGGAAGGACTAACATGCGGCTGAGGCGTGACAGCCGTGGTTTTGGTAGATGAAGTCGCGGGTGAGGCAGACATCAGGGGTGGCGTAGATGGTGTAGGAGAGGTTGAAGGGTCATGTACGGTTATAGGGGAGGGCAGTGAGATCGGTGATGGGCAGTGTTCGGCGGGGAAAGGGGAAGGGGGTGGTTGGCTGGAATTGCCGAGCACAGCCGGGATAGGGGGATGGGGAATTGCAGTTGGATGAGGGATAGTGTTGGGCGAGTAGGGAAGGGACAGTGGGTTCGAGATGGTGTGGGTGAGAGTGAGATCGTTGGCCGGAGGAATGGAGGTCGAGGAAGTGGCATTCGTAGAAGAAGACAATGCGGCATAGGGAAAAATATTTTCATGAAAGCGAACATGTCTACTAATAAAAACTTTACCAGATTTAGGCTCAAAACGCAAAATAGTTTCACCACAATGTCCTAATCTACGATGCCACACAGGGCCAGGAGAAGCAACTGTGGCAAGAGCTAAAGGTGTAGATGATGTAAGGCTGATAGGATAGAGATGGCCATTATGTCGTGCCTGAAGAAGAATTGCCCCCGAAAGTTTGTCCTTAACAAAAAAATAGTTTTTATCAAAAACAGCAACACAGTTGTTATCAGCACATAATTTTTGAATAGAAATTAAATTAAATTTAATTTGAGGCACATGAAAAACATTTTTCAATGACAAGGGGCGACTGAGAGTATTTAAGGTAATATTTCCAATATTAGCAATAGGCAAATTAGTACCATTGGCCACACTAACAGTCATGGAACCAGAGTAAGGAAATTTATTTGACAGAATACCTTCAGAAGAAGTCATGTGAGCAGAGGCACCTGAGTCCGGATACCACAAAACATCGTTGGATTCACCACTTGGAGTAATCAACGCAGGTGCAGAAGTTTGTGAAAAACGAGACGGACAGTGCAGCGCAGAGTGACCTGCAGAGAAACAAATTTGACACACAACTGGGGATGGAACAGACCCGAGAATACCCTCAGAAGATGGGAAACCTGCAGAATAACAATGAGTACCAAAAGCATAATTATCATTAATATTTAAAGTGGACACAACAGATTTACCAGATGCGTCATTAGGAGGTCTCGGGACATGAACACCCCCTGCAGGTCTCGGCCCGGGCTGACTGGAGTGCACC